TCTCGAAGCACATTGTGGCAAATTTACCTAAATTGCCGTAAAAGTTCATCATTTCAGAATAATGTGAAATGAAATGCAATTTTGGAGTAACCATGTTATTTGTCTCCATCATCTGTTGAAAAAATAATTTTAGTAATTTACTAAACGATTTTGTCAAAATATACCTCAATGAATGATGAGATTAATGAATCTAGTTCGGATGAACCAGAATTTTCGGATTTGTTAAAAATCCTGTGAATGACCTTTCTCGAAATATCGTAAAATTCAGATATGGAGGTTGTTTCCACCCATTCAGGAAAAATCTCGATTAGACGTGTAAAAAATTCAAATTTCTGTATGAATATAATCAAGACAATTTATAAATATTTTGTTGAATCATTAATTTCAATTGAAACATACTTGTGCTGCTTTTCCATTTATTTGGAACTGCGGTCCTATCGTTATTTTTTCGTTTATCCATTTGATTCTGGACATTCGCCGGTCCAGCTCGTCCCAATTGATCTTTGTTTTTTTCAAAATGAATGACAGTAATGTAGCTAAAACCCCTTCAATAATAATAGCAACGATAATGATAATTTAATTGAAAAAGCTCATCAAAATACCTTCAGTAAAATCGTGAAATACATCAGGTGGTGATATTTTAAATATGTTCAAATCCATATGTAAAAATGGCGAAGGATATTTTATTCCAAATGTACTTTTATGATTTTTGTTTGATTTCACTTTATCTATTTCAGTCCGAAGTACTCTACAAATCAAATATGAATATATAAATTAACATTCAAAAAATATCATTATTTCATACTCATCCGATAGTGTGATATTAAGAGGATTTGAACATCGAATTTCTGGATTCTTGATTTGTTTGTAGGTATGTTGACAATATCTAAATGAGAAATAAGTAATTCATATATTAACCAAGCACCACAAAAAGACTAATCACCTGCAAATAAAGCCCGGCCCGAATGTCTGTTTAAATCCAAGAAGTTCGGCTACGGAAAGATTATCTCCAATGATAAATGCAAGCTTAACTGGTAATTCGATATCAAATTTTTCAAGATAAAACTTTTGTTGCTATCAACAAATGAATCAATGAGTAAAATCGCACAAAACAAAGCAGATATGAGATAACAAACCTGCAAAATCAATAGTTCATCAATAAATGGTTTTAATACCAATACTAAATTTTCAGATTTTAGATTTTTATTTCTTTCAGCCAAAATAACAAAAGGAATAGACCTTGACTTTTGTCTTAATTCGATCGGACAATCGATGTCCATATAAAATGCCAAAATTTTGTGTCTACCTTTGGCGTACCCAATTGGGTTCACCATCCCAAAGTCATCGGCATATAAAATTAAACGTATTGTTCTAGCCAATTTATTTTCTTTCACATAAGCAGATACGTTACTATCATTCTCTTTTAGAATAGATGCTGTTACAGCTTCGCTCATTAGTTGAGGAATGATTTTTTTGATTGGCATGTATACAAAATTAATGTCGTATTTTAAGTTTTTGTATCTTATTGGACTGATGTAATTAGGCATTCTTTTGATTGACTTATCCAATAAATATTTCGATTTTGTGATTTTTGAAATTCCTTCATTAAAAAATGATTCTTTTGGTGGATTTGTTATCAGGTCCATATACAGATCGCTAATAGATTTGATAGCTTTTACGCTTTAAAGAAAAATATTAAAGAAAAATATTTCACATTTTGTTTAAAAATAGCAGTAGTTAAATTGTGCAAACCTTATATTATGTTCGATTCTTATTTGATTCAATTTGACGACAACATCCAAAAATCTGGATCGACTTTTTTGAGATAAATTTGTTGTGACCTGGTCGAAAAATAAACTCTCGATCGAATCTTCTTTTATTTCCTCTAATTCTTCTTGCAGTTCTTCTATTTCATCATAGACAACATCTTTCCAATCGTTTATTAAGAAATAATTCTGTTCAGGATTATCGATATTCATTTCAACATCATCATCATCATCATCATCATCAT